TTGCAAAAGTAATCTGTCCTTGGGGAAGATCACCACATAACCATTGCATCAAAAATAGCTACAACAGTGTCAGTACCCTCTTCATTTCTCAAATTGCTCTGACTAAATTAGAAAGGGTCTGCTGGCACCCTCAGAAAGATAAATAATTCTCCCCATCACGTGCACACATCATCTGCAGTGGCAGGACTGAGAAATCCAGAAGACAAACTACAGGGAAAAAAAATTGTCCCCTTACCTCCTTAAATAAGGATTGGCTAAATCATTTGAATCGCCTTTGATGCAAGGAAGAATAACAACATGGATAAACAGAGTGCTGATTCAACAATTAATGAAAAACTTTCAGGGTTTTTTTGCGGCGTTTGGGTTTATTTGCATTTTAGTTTTTGCAACTCCAGTTTTAAAGCACTGATGAAGTTTTCATACTTTTCTCACCAGGGCCATGAATCAAATGAAGTGCCTCCACTCGTAAGGCCTTAAAATAGTTAAGTATTTTGATCATTTGGAACTAAACAGGAAAAACTGTGAATGAAGTGGTATCTGTTATTGTTACTAGGAGGTAAGAACTTGCATGTAAAGCTCTGTTGCAGGTGACTACAGGTTAGTTACCGTCCCTTTGGTGACTTTCCCTGTCAGCTGACTGCAACAGAGAACAGCCCTGCCTGGGCTGAGATAATCTCCCTTGTAATTAGACGTGGTGCCGGTGCTCCATCATCTCAAACCAGCCACCGTCCCTCCCCACCATCTGGTCACTGTCTTCTTGCCTCATCTCTATGAACTAAGGAGTCTTTTTCCAAAACAGTCTATTCCAGTACAACAGTAAGTTTTTGTATCTGCGAGGATGCCTTGACCTGCAGACTTTACCTGACAACGTACTTTAAAAAAGGTATTCTAAAGTGTACTTGTAAGGCATACCTGAAAGGCATACAATATGTGACTGAGCAGAAACAGTCCTATCAAAGAATCAAAAACGCTTCAATTTTGTCCCATTAGGTAATATTTAAATTGCATAAGCTCCTTCCCACTCCATTCAGCCTAAGCCTCTGCCAAGCCAGAGTTTCTTGCAGCGAGTCTGTTGGTATTCCCTGTAATAATTTATAAGTATTGGCAATAGCTTGTACTACAAAGACAAGGACAATATTCTTACAAAAATGTAAACTGCTTCCCTGGGCCGTTCAGAAGGTCCACCTACCACAAACTGGTTTTTTTGCCTGATAAATCTGGTGACAGGATATTCAGTTTAGGTTCCTCTTTCTTACACTGAATGGCAATTTAAATTAAAATCACTGCCCGTTCAAGCAAGAAAGAACAGGTCTTAATGGAATAATATCAAATTAATTTTCACTGTGCTCGGATAGAAAATTTTTACCACACAGACATAACTATCGGCCATGCAAAGGATCTCCCACAGAACATTTCTAACAACTACCTCTCTTTTTTCCCTTATTTTTAAGACTTTCTCTTTAATATTCAAAATGGGTACTTCCCAACTCCTTTTTGACACATCTTGACTTGCTGACTGGGAGTGAACCAAAAGACAAAATGAAGTGCACATGGGAGAGAATAAGACCATCGGAAATCCTCTGTTGTACACATGTAAGCACAGAAGAATAAACTTTACATGATTAAGGTTAGGCCCAACTTGTAGTACAGCTACAACCCAGGCCTATTCATAATTTCACTTTTTCATTTTTATATATTGCCTTGTAAGACAGAAACATGTTAGAAAAATCACAGAAAGTGACTGATCAGATGTAAAAGTAGTAGGCCACCCTCCTTCTAATGAAAAAAGACAAGGGTTGAATTTGACATTCTGTTGCTGCCTCTCACAAGCCAGAATAATGGCATCACCAAGGTAAGAAGGGAGAACTCAATACTCATTTAGTCACTGTAGTTTTAAAACCCATAGTAAGCAAAGGGCAAACACAAATATTTGACGTGTTAGGAATATGACAGGCCCTTTTATTGTTTGCCATCCAACTTAATTTCTTCATGACGGGCCTGCCAAACAAGAGCAACCAGAGCCTGAAGATACAATAATACATCAGCACAGAGTGCAAATCAGTTCTGTTGTTTAGTCCAGTATCCTTCATCACTGACACCATGAGTGAAGGCTCAGATGGCATCCACAAGTCGCTGCAGTCTCCTCACTACCCTTTCTTTTATTCTCTCAAAAACTATTCTTTATGCTGAAACTTTTGACAACTCCTTAAATCTCCAAATTCAGTTTAAAAGTGTATTCCTAAAAGGATGGGGAAGTGGGAGATTGTTTTGTTTGTAAGTGGCAAAATTTTTGGCTGAACATTACAAAATTAGATACTTAACCTTGTAAAAAGCAGTTCTCCTCTTTGGACAGATGCCAGGCATTATATACCACTCAAAAGGATGCCAGCAATACTGTGCAACAATTTATGATAGTAGAAGGACACTCCATCCAACTCTGAAAAGTAGGGGAATGGGAGCAAGCCAGAATGCAGTTGACCATGTTGGAAATTGGCTGAGCCTTTATGGTTCACATACCTCATCTTCTAAAATGCTCCAGGGGATCTTTAAACAACTACAAGTCCCCAGGAATTTGCATTTAATCAAAAGAACAATCAGTCCATAAATACTGGTTACAGAATGCATGATTGTATGAGGGTGAACCCCAAAAAGGCTGGCTTGAAATGGCTATCAATCCCAACAGAGGCATGTCAGAGAGGAAACAGCCCGCGGCCTGGAAACCCAAATTATTCCGGAGGAAATGCTACTATGGAAGGCTGCATAGTAAAAGAGAAAAACTGTCTGCAAAGAAGAAGAAAGACCATTCATCATCACAAGGAAAACACAAGATGTCTCTTTTTCCAGGAAAAGCTAGGCACAAACTAGGGCCTGACTCCCTACTGTATTTCCCACGTGGTTATGTGGAAAGTCATGAAAAAGCCAACCTAAAGAAAACTTGAGTGTATACAGCTGTCAAACAACATACTGTTCCATCCATCTTGAAGAACTAATATAATCACTCTTAAAGCTTTTTCTCCTCCTTTCAGGAAGTTTGCATTACTGGGCTTGCTCAAGCAGCATTTACAGCCCTTTACACACAAACAGCACCACTCTATAAAAGCTTCCCCAAAAATTAACATTCCCCCCCAAAGCCACCCAGCATGTTATTGGTATAAGCAAGAACTCACCCCTTCTCCAAAATCTTCATATATGAGAAGCGCATGACACAGCTCCTGGCAAAGTCTGACTACTCCCATGCTTTAGGACCCACCGAGCACTGCGATTCCTTCTTTTTCTAAGAACTACTGTTCTGTTGTGTATTGCTGCAGAATGAAGAGTACCAGGCTCATGCTGTACATATTACTTCCCTTATCCTCACCTCCTTCATGGTCTGGATGAGGGGATCTGTGATGATTTCAGAATTGCAGCACAGGCAAGAAGGGCAGAAGTAGCTATGGAGTTGGAATTGGTTGGGTTGGTCTGGATTGCATCAGGGTACCACCCTGGAGCGAAGACAACATGATGCTATTGGCATTTAATGATGTTGGTATTGTGTACATTTAGAATTTCACTACCTACACAGTGCTAGTAAGTCACTTAACATTTCATCATCTGGAGGCAGACTCATTCCTTTTTTAGGTCTCCTCTTCAAAGTCAACCGCCAGCATCCTTCATTCGTTATAATATTCACTCCTAACAAACATTTCATCTTGTTAATGGGGGAGAAACAGGTAATTTGGGAGGAAGGAGGAACTTCATAAAACTACTTAATGGGTGGGCTCTAGCCTAGGTCTGACTATGAGCAAGTTTTGTCCAGGAATGGTCCCAAATGTGATGTCTCCCTTAACACTGCAGGAGATTTGTATTTTCTACTGTTCTCTCACTATCCTGGGGAGCAGCTGTGGCTCACAGCTGTAGCTCTTGTTGTGAAGGTAACACACAGAGTCTGGCTGACTCTGTGGACTTCAAGTCAATAGATCATGATAACACAGTGGAACTTGCCAAGAACAAGTTTCAATTAAAAAAAAATATAGCACACTTCACAAAAACTTAACTGCCCAAATTATTGCTCATAGATATACATTGCTACTTTACTGACCACCGCTATCATTCATGCCTTTTTGGCTCACACGTAATTTGCAGACATACACATCTACAGCATAAGGTTATCACAGCCCTGATGTTTTCTTGGGTTTTAGCTGCATATTGAAAATTGCATGCATGCATATAATGTAGCATACACTTAGATATATGCCACCACCACCAAATATATCCCACTGAAGAACAATACTTGCAAACACTTTTATCCCAACTCTCCTACATGTCTTCACACAGAACGTGAGAGAAGACATTTTGAGTTGCTCAGATTTCTGCAGGTTTTTTTATTCAGAAGTCTTCATATGACATAGCAGTATCAGCTCCCTGTTTGACAGAGTATCAGGTGACTCATATCAAGTTAAACTCTCCTTCAGGTTAAGAACAAAATACCCTAACATGTGGCCACATAAGAGTTAGAGCAGCAAATTCCTTGGATTATAAAACATCTGTTGAAAAGCCATTCCATATCTAAGGCACAAGGGTTATGTTTCTATGCCTTGTACTCTCTTGCTTCCTCCTCTGCATATACCACACATTTCTCTGCAGTTTGGTCTCTGGTATTGCAGGTTGTACTGCCCTTTCAAGCTACCCTAGCTTCTCAAGTTTACATGGTACCAGAATATACATTTGTGGATTTAACTCACTTTTCCAAAAAGTTTTACTATAAGTGAAAGGAAGCATAATTTCTTATAGACAGAAGCTTTTAGGGAAATACTACACACTCTGCTGCATTAATGTTTTTGAAAGGAGGAGAGCTGACAGGATTTTCATCTATGTCGGTACTCTCTATTTAAGACTAGCAATTACAATGCAATCTCTCATCTGTACAGGTCTTTTGTGAACTGGCATGCAGCTCATTTGTCTAAATGATCGAATAAAGCACATTATGACATGATCAGTTGCCATAAAAATAGAGCTCATACCTACATTCACTTTCTGCAAGCAGATGGCTGATTGCTTGTCTGTCCTTTTACGTTGCAGTCCTGTTCCCTTAGATCCTCTCTTTGTAGAGGTTGACATGCTGGGAGGTCAGTTTTCTGACAAGGTCATCTGCCTTCAGAGATGAAGGGAACCGCACGGAAAGTGGGTTGGGCTATATTTAGAGTTTGGTCCAACTCCGTGCCAAGGTCCCCCCGCTGTCTCTCCCTTGCAGCACCGTCTCAGGTCTATTCTTGCAGATTCTCAGCCCACAGACATACGAGGAGAGGCAAGTCGCTCTGAGCTACTACTGGATTGAGGTTTTTGCAGTTCGCTAAAAACGAGTGGATCAGGAGCTCACATAAGGACTCCTTAAATCCTTCACTCTTCTAGTATTTACTTTCCTTCATTCAAGTGGATCTTCCCTTTTCAAGCGAATAAGGAGAGGAAACTGCCTGGGATACAGCAAAAAATAGTCTCCTGAGCTAAGGTAAGCTTGCTTCATTTTTCTATTGTCACCATAATTACAGAGCAATTGATGTGACTTGGATCAGATACGCTTTTTCTGCTAGACCAGTTCTGCATGTCAGCACTAAGGGTTTTTTTGGATAATGAAATTCTCAATTTCAAAACATCGATTTTCATTATCACTGTCTAAAGGAAATGGGAAAATAAAAGGATATCAGCGTATGCAATACAATATACATTATCTGATTTTACCTGTTCAAATTAATGTAAAAAGCACGCTGCTACGCCAACAGACTGTATCATTCTGAAAGTAAGAGAAAAACAGATGTGTGACTGTATGCGTGATTATACATATAGGCGTGCATTTAGATGTGCTGAGTGATGTTTTATCCACATTATTTTGTACAATATGAGAAAGTATGGCTTCAGGTTTGCAATAGAGGGCTTGCTGCAAATAGCACAGATATTAAAAATAAATAAATTAATTAATAGATGAACACTTGCTCAAAACCCTTTACAGTTCCAAAGAAGTTGCTCGGCTTCAGCCAGAGTACAGGCAGGATTAAAGTTCATATTGAATTCACTCTCCTTTCCACTGTATGCGTTACACTGGTCTTGCATTACTTCTCCTTTTAAAAACACATACGGCTGTACAGTTTTCCTCAGCACCATTTTAAACTGTTATGATTCTTAGGGGAAAAAAAACCTGGACAGAGTACAACATTGCATGCCTGTCTGTAAGGAGATCCTAACATATTTCAGGTCACGTGGACATCATGATACTGTGGTGTGGACTCCAACATGAGGAGACTGTTATAATGTAAAGACACTCTGGAGCCATGGATTTAGCACTGGCGCGCACACACACACATACACTCTCTAATGCAACACGACCACGGCAAACACACAGCGATGGTAACCTGAAGAAATAAGGTAGAAAGGTCCACTTGACTCAAAGGTCCAAACACCAATGTGACAGCACCAAAAAGTTCTTTATAACATTAAACACTACGTAAAAGTCTTCGCAGAAACATCTGAAGAAAGGCAGATGGGTTCTGGATTAATAGTAAGCAAAGGGCAAGAGAGGTCACTAAGTCACTGGGAGTTCATCTAAGCTACAACTGGGTGAATACCTGCACTTATTTCAGGTCATCTTTTCTTAATATACCTGCTGGTTCAACAATGCCATGCATCATACTGGAAAAGTAATATATTACAAGGTGGCAAAAGTGTTACCTGCTGAAGAAACTTCTGATTTTGGTTATTCTCAATTCTATATAAAATCATCTCATTGTCCTTCGCTTCCGATTTTTGCTTAGTATTTTATGCTTGGAGTCTTGAGTGTTAAGTTTATTTGGAGGATGTAATAACCACCATCCATTTCACACCAAATACCTTCTTAGCAGTCCTAAGACACTTTAACAGCTAACAGTTAGGGCAGCATACCATGGAGCCAAACCGGGCTGTGTGGCATATGATAATTCAGATTAATCCAGAAGGTTTATATTGCAAGAACTCAAAGAAGATGCTGTTATGAGGGTAACTGAAGTACTGCAAATGCAGTCAAGTTCATCAGTGAGTAAAAGGCTTCGCAGTATAAAAGCAACTACTTTTGCTTGCCTTGCAGCGCAAGAGTGGCAACAACCTTTTATGAACAGTTGTTATACACTGATAGAAGAGAAGACAAATACATCTTTATAAATCTTTAGATGTTCAGGTTTTGCCTAAATTTATGCCACTCTGTGGCACCTATTCTGTTTGCATGTGGGAAAATGTTATTTCCCCATCAATGTTAAAGACATGGGGAACCTAAGGGGTGGCTTAAAAAAAAGCAGTACAGATGTGACTGTAGCTTACAAACACAGCACTCACAAAGACCCCGCTGGCAGCGGGGTGGGAGTGCTGCTGCGTCCCAGCGGCAGCCAGGCTCTGGCTTGTTTTGAGGGGAACGTCATCACACCTTCCCCACAGGAGCTGAGCCCAGAAGGTCTCTGTCACCCGAACGGGTGGGAGGTTTGTTGGCGTATGGATGACAGGATGACAACAGTGGAAAATGTCAGTATCATTTTGATGATAAATATGAGCTTGGCATTACTGGAAGAAGTTAGAAAGAAACACATCTGAGTGAACAGGCCTCATGTCCTAACATAGACAAACCTCAACCTGCTTCTAACCTCTTTCTGTTTGGGGCTGATCCTGCCTGGTAGGATCCTCCTCTTCCTATTCTCTCCCCTCCATTATAAAATTGCAGCAACAGAATGAGCTGGCTTCTTCTTGCTAAGGTGTGACCTCCAAAGGGGACGATATGCCTATCCTAGGGGAGACCACCCTGGGAGGGGAAAAAAGGAAAATAAAAAAGAAAATAAAAAGGAGGAAAAGATCTTTTTTTCTTCCTCTAATGCAGGAAAGAAGGACTGAAACTGTTCATTTCTATTAGGGGGGTTTAGATGGGACTGAAATCCACTTTCCTCACTGGGGTGGCAGGGCATGGCTGTGTGTGTTAACTGACATGTCCAAGGTTATGGAGGAGGAGGAAGAGGAGGCTTGACTGATAATATATGCTGCCAACTGGCCAGGCAAAGCTCCAAGTGGATATTCACAAACTTTGTGCTTTGGCACTGTCACCCTCAGCTGAAAGGTGTAAGCAGGGCTGGAGTCGGATGGCTACATCCAAACAGCACCAGGGGATGTGTAAGTCCCACCAGCAGTCAGATCCCTACTACTGCTTACCGTGTTTATGTTCCTGCTTGGGGGCTTTCACCTGGTGCAACCAAACAACAAACAATGCTGGGATTTTCCTCCCTCCCTGCCAAACTGAACTAACAGAAACAAGCTGGGGTTTTGAGGGGAGTCAGTGCATACCTCAACTCATCCTGAAACAAGTACCTTTAGCAAGAGGCCCTCTCAGACGCTACGGCATCATCGGGCCATGGTTCTGTAATCAGCCACCAGGACCCAAGACTCACCTCCACCCACCACCATCATTGCATAGCTGGTGCTGCAGCCCACGTCCAGGCAAGGACACTCAAAAGGGGATGGAAGAGTGTGAGAAGGGTAAAGGTAGCACCTAGAGAGTCAGTCCAAGAGTACTTGGGTACAGCGCTCTGTGTGTATGCCTGCATGAGGAGGGAACTCAATATTTGGTATGAAAGCAAGTTGCTACAGCTCTACCTCAACGCCTGCATAGAAATTATCTTTCAAAACCTTTCATGACTATAGCCATGATTCCTGAATACACTTTCCAGTATGGGACAGAGAATGATGTGCTGACACATGCTGTATGGGAAAGAGAGATACTTACAGGCACAGAAAAATCACAAAGCTATAGTTAAGCAAACAGTTAATTAAATAATTGTAGTCATTCTGCTGAAGAATATTTTCCCCTGAGACTTACTGGTAAAAAGGAAGGGGAATGAAATCAGAGTTCATACTTGCAACAAGCCACATAGCCCCAAGCTTTGTCTGACCTGCCTTCACAAATCCATCTCCCAAAAGTTGGAGGAAAGCAGAACCTTTTGAAAGGGACCCCTGCTTCATTTTGCTTCCTGTGCACCAGAGGTACTGTGATCTCTTGTTGCAGGAAACAGATTGCTCTGAGGTGAGGAATAGCCTCAGCAGTCTGCATTTTCTTTCAGTCTGATACAGCGTTGGGACTAATGGAAAGATCTCCAACACTGTTTTTCACATTTTGCATTAGAAAATATTACATTTAACCATGGCAAATGCACTCTTGCCTACCCAAAGCACAATAAAGCTTCATGCTCACATCTAAGCAGAGTAAGGAACAGGAAAAGAAAAATCCATTTGAAGCTCCAGGTACTCTATACGCCTGCAGTACCACGCGGCTTTGCAGTTGCAATTACCAGCTCCGAATTGGTGAAAACTGCAGAAAGACCACTGTCTGCTACACTCGGTGCCTTCCTTCTCATCCAGACATCTTTGTGGTCCTACTCAGTACAGTTTTATGAGTCTCAGCCCTTACTTCAGTGATTATTCAGCATCGGTACACAATCCCTCCATGTGAGATAAGGTCTGCTGTGCACAGCTTGTGCATAAAACCAGGAACCTTGGGTTCTCTCAGTGCAGGAAAGGGCAGGCAGAAGGAGCAGCCTCATGCTACCTCAAACATTGACCACCAGTGCAACCGAGGACATCATGGATGCAGCTTGCTTTCCCCCTGCTCACACCTGCATCTCTCTCGCAGTCACGCAAACGCACATACGTATGTACACAGCTGCATACAGACAAGGGACAAAGTTGCAGGGGGTGGAGACCCACTCTCTGGGTCTGGCAAAACATAGTATTTTAGGCTAAGATGAAGCATCTCCTTTGAAAAATGCATTTATTTTATATGGACTTTCAGTTTGGCTAGATGAAATGGAGTGCAACTAAGATAGCTTTGCCTAAAAAAGATGATGAGAATGAAATGAAACAACTGAAAGTAGTTTACCTGGAATGTTATAAAACAGGGGTATGAGACAGCATGTATACACCTAGAGCAGCGGTAGTTACCTATACTTGAAAATAGGCTTTCAAAAGTATTTAAAAATTCAGGATGTACGGCTGGCCACCCACATGGATTGCTTTCTCATTTTCATGGAGCTGTTGCCAACCCCAAGTTTAGCGACAGCTAA